ATGTTATTGTGTATTATATGCAGTGCCATTTACATGATAAATAAAATGAATGAATGAATGAATGAATGAATGAATGAATGAATGAATGAATGAATGAATGAATCGTAAAGTTTAAAATGCTTATCATTGAAGTTTCAGAACAAAGACAAGTGATCATTAAAAAAATATCTTTAAAAAGTGCTTCATCCTTTTCTGACAAAATTAAAAGGCCAGCATGAATGATGTCATAGTTGTAACAATTAGGCTTTGGTTTTCTTATAGACCGCTGCCCCACATAAGAAATGGATACAGACTTTTCGATCCTCCTGGGAACCCGATCTACGCCAAAGATTGTCTGATTTTTACACGGGAAATTCAGAGTTGTGAAAAGAGTGAGTTGTTTGAGTTCAGCTACCTTGTTCTGTTGTTTTTGACGTGTCCGAATAATAAAACGTATCCAGAGTTTTTGTAGATCTGTGGATGTGTCCCAGTTCTTTGTGTGTTTGCTGTTGTTGGGGTGTTTCCTTCTTGTCCTACCACTCCAGAAGACTTTTGGGTAAATGTTTCCACCTGGAATCCATACTCATTGGGGGAGGGGATTCCTCCACAGGGGCTCTTGTCACCACAGTGGAAATGAGGCCTTTTTCAGCAAATTTGAATGATGTTTTCATGTGATTATCTTTACTGTTTTAAAATGTCATTTCAGGTGTGAAAGTTTTTTTTTCTTGTGTTTTCTTCCCAGTCTTTAAAAACCTCCTTGGAACCACCATCCTGATGGATGACCTGGAGTCTGCAATCAACTACAGGAAGGCGGTGCGTGATCCTGGCTGACAGAGTGGTGCCGTACCAAAATACTGGAGGTTATTTATCCACTAAATGAGCTGTCGTTTGCAGGTTGTGKGGAACAAAATCCAGTGTCCCACCATACTGACCCGGCAGGGGGACAGGGTCAATTCCAGAGCCAAATTTGGAGGAGCGCAGAACAGAGCCCCACCCATCTCAAGATTAAAAGTGTTTGGAGCGCCGCTTCCCCAACACTACTTTATACTGAAGCAACAAATAGGTGACACCTCTGAAAATCCTTTTTAAAGCTGTTATTTTACACCCTGCTCAGTCAGATTAGACTTTAAGTTTGTCTGTTGTGGATAGGTCTGCTCTCAGACTACAGCAAAATTATGAAGAAGAGAGAAAAGGCAGAAAAAGAGAAGAACGAGTATTTCGTAACTTGGAAACCAAACCAAACCCAACAAAGACTGGATGAGAAAATAAAGGAGCTTGAGGAAATTGACGAACAACTTGGTAACTCTCTCTCTCTCTCTCTCTCTCTCTCTCTCTCTCTCTCTCTCTCTCTATCTCTCTATCTCTCTCTCTCTCCCCTCTCTTTAACATTTTTTAAGTTTTGTTTGTAATAGCTCTGTTTTCTCCTTGCAGCTTCAATAAGACAAGGGAAACGAGGTCCTGAGGGCGCTGGAGAGCCATCAGGCATTGTGGCAAAACGACCAAGGAGGACAACCTAAGAGTTTTCAAGGGTTTTAATGTGGCCATGTTCTGACATGTATATGGAAACTTGACACAAGTATGGACATTTGGGTTTTTTTTTTTTTTTCTTTGTTAAAGCAATTGTTCTTAGCAGTAAATTTTATTCGGTTACCTCATTTGGCAGCAGCTGGAGGTACCAGAAGCTCAAAACAAGTGTCAAAAACAACAGCAAAATAAGCTGTTTGGCAGAGAAAATATGACTACTGCACATACTCAGCTCTACTGCTCATCCCACAAATGCATGTTCCTTGCAAATGTGGCACCATTTTAAAAGAGAAATTAAAAGTATTTTCAACACTATAAACATGTATTATCAAGAAGCAGTGTTACAGACATTTTCTTACGTTTTGTGCTAAGTTTTATGCTTTTATGCGTTTTGTGGTAAGTATATATAT